GCCATGTAATAATGCATTGTTGTATTACTAAAATGAGCAGGCTAATTATCATTGTGTACATCAGCCAGGCCTATGTAAATTTTTTCGGATGTTATACTACTTTTTTATGTTAAAACTTTTGTATAATGCAGCCTCTTCATTTAAGAGAAACTTTACAGAAATTTCACACCTGAAAGAACAAAAGACAAATGAAAAAAGGGATATGAATGATTGCATCTAAAAATTAATAAGCGGGGGGGTCCAAATAAGCTCCGGTGGGGTCAGAAAAAAATCGAAAAATTAATAAGCGTCCCCCTTCTATTAAGGACCTTAGGAGTACTGCTAGTTGAGAAGGTGAAAACGAGCTTCTTCTGTCTATATTTTACCTTTTTTGTGTACGAAGAATGAGTACACTACGTGGTGGGTTGTAGGGAACGCATACATGTATATAGAAACTTGTCTTTTGATACTTCCGTAGCACAGTGCTCAATACGTTAGCACGTAGAGCGTGATATATCATAGAGTTGAAGAAAATAAGACTACATGGTTTATCTCTACAAGCCTGTTTCGTGAGTAACTCACTCACATCTACTGAAGAGCCGCCGGAGCCAGGGGGGCCACGGGGGCACAGCCCCCCCCCCCCTGTTTGCAAAAAGTACAAAAAGTGCCCCTTTTTGATAAATAAATTGCGTGTTTTTTTTCAATGCCAGATATTCTGCCTTTAGAAGCTAAGTAAGATAGCATAACTCTGGGCGTTGTTGGAGGACCATTCACTGAATTTCCTTGAATTTTTACTTGATCTTGATGCAAAAAAACTCAAGCTCCTGTGATGAATGATATCAACTGTGAAGGAGACTGCCGTTTTCGCGAAAAAATCTCCTTAGTATCTCCTCAGCAACAAACGCATTGGTGAAAGTTCTGCATCAAGCCCCCGGCGGGCACAGTCAGTTGGTGCAATGTATATCGTGTGTGTTCCTGAAGGTAGAAACTGGACCCCTATCTCTGATTCTGGGTAAAGTAAAATTTACCCTATTCTGCGACTTTGCCAAAAATTGTGAAACTCTTTTCACTGAGATTTTTCAAGCTTGAGCAGGAATTTTTTATACCAATTCATGTTAGAACCATTCCTATTCTTAAACTTATGTCTAGGCAAGTTAAAAAGCAGAGTTTACTAAATTTGATTTTAACAACAATCCCTTGTCAAGATTCTTAATAAACATTATACTTAGCTTGAAATAGTGGAACGTTCCAGAACATACTAGAACTTTTGCTTGTTTGTAATCCCTTAGAATAGCTCTTCATAGTAGCTTATTTAGGCCTAATGTAAACACATAGCCTCGTTTTCGTTTTATTGACGTAATTGTACCTCGGGAACCTTCATGAACTTTCTGAGGGTATCCCAAATTAGCTATAACGTAATTAATATTTTTAGAAGCCTTGTAATAATGGTACGCAATAATGACAGCGGTTGCTAGAACATTCTTAGACTTAGGTATAAAAGCAGTCGAGATTGTTGAAGTAGTAGTAGTTGTGTTGATCGTGAACGTGATAAACATTAAAGATCTATGTGAACAGATTCGTGATTTATTGTCGCGGCTAACTATACGATTCCCGACACCCTTATGATTCTCAATATATATTAACAAAATTAGACAGCTGTAAAACTATAACTGCAACATATTGCTTACTTCACAAAATTGTGTTAGATGTTTTTATGAAGACATGAGAAAGTTGTGTCCCTGCAACGAGTACATGCTAGCAGTAAAGGGTTTTTTACCCTGGGTACCAGAGCCGCAAAAATTAAAAAATTACCCAGGGTAAGGGTTTTTAAACAAAGACTTAACTTTCTTATCTAGGATTAGAACAACATACAAGACTAGATGCTGGATTTGTTGTACTTCAATATAATTCCTGCCCTTTTGTGTTTTCTCTGACAGATTAAAAAAGCAATCCTATTTTCAAGATTCTATGTCCCAGAATTCTAGTTTACAGACCACACTTTCTCGGAGTTTTTCGGAACTCACATGTAATACGTTTGATCAACTGACTGAGCACACAGGGATCAAGTCTAAGGAGAATTTCAACCGATTGCGTAAAGAACACTTAAATATAAAAATTTGTAGCTTTTAAAAAATATTTCGTGGAGGCGAATAAATTTATGTGTTTAAGTGGCGATGGGAAGGCGCGAATACCAAGGGCAGTGGCGTAACGGAGATATCTGAAGCCCTAAGGAAAGACTGAGACGGGGCCCTTATTTATGGATGCTCACGGTCTGCATAAAAGTCCAGCCCCACGCTGTAGAGCATGCAAACACAATAGCAAGATTATAAAATTGAATTTTTGTCGTTAACTAGGAGTAGCTCAGCTATTTAAATAGTTAAAGTTTTTGAAAATAAGGTTTACTTGAGCGTAAATATAATCAAGGAAAGTCTTTAAATATGAATATATAAATAACTTTGGGCCCATTTATGTCGGGGGCCCTTAGTTAACGTACTAGGGTGCCCTAAACTGTGTTACGCCACCGACCAAGGGGGACTAGATTGTATATGAAAGTAAGTAATTTAAAATCATTATTGGAATGGGCTTTGGATAAGCAAAGAGACTGAAACTTTGCTTTGAAAGAAAGAGGGACTGGAATTGGCTTGGAAGTATTTCGAAAATTTCATTCAGTTCATAATTTTGATTGGATTCGTTGGTATTTGTTGAGTATAATTCGCCTGCCACAAGTATGAAAGAACGATGTGTGCCTGCTTCTTACCCGGGGCCAAATTCACCTACACTGAGACCCCGTTTACACTGTCCCGTGCAAGTTTGGAACCGTGACAAAACTGTCGCGGTTCGCCCTTGCGTTTACACTAGCACTGTGGAACCGTGACGATTTTGCTCTGCTATCCGGAACAGTTTTGACCCTGCTTTGAAAGCGAACGAATTTTGTACCGTCACGGTTCCGTTTTTGAACGGGACAGTGTAAACACCTATCCGAGACGATTTTGTCACGGATTCACAAAGAGGTCTTTTGTATGGCTGTTTCAGGTAATCGAGGCTTTGATTGTGGCGTAACTACGTTCTCAAATTCTGAAGAAAAGGAAATTCTGAATAAAAGACGACCACAGAAAAGGCTTGTAGTGTTTCCCAGTCCAAGCCTTGATTGGACTTTGCAGTTTTGTAGTCTAAAATAACACTGAAAATTAAAGCCACCTTGTCTTTCGTCCAAGTAAAGTTTTAATCGGCCTTCCGCTCCATTTTAACTCACAATAAAAATTCAATTGTTGACTTCAGCGGCAAAATAAAAGCCTTGGTTGACTAAATACAGCTTCTTCTAAACAATGTTCTACCATTAAATTAAGGTCGTACCGGTACAGTGTAAACGGAACGGCTAAACGGAACAATTTGGAACCGCGACAGTGTAAACACTTGCGAACCGTAACGGTACAAAATTGTCCCGGGACAGTGTAAACGGGGTCTGAATATTATAAGAAAAACAAGTACAGCTTATTGTAATAAAGGTATAAATCATAGATGGAAGAAGATTTACACTCTAAAAAAAACTTGAAGGCCATGAGATTGGAAGCTATACAAATAATCATGATCAAGAGTGCGTGGTCCCTAAATGGAGTAAATAGCCATGTCTGCTTTCAGCGAAGATAGTTCTCACTATGTCCAGCATGTGTCATTATTTTTATTAATTTCTAAATTACCATTAAATCTGTACCATTTTTGGTACTTACCAATGTTTCGGAAAAATATATTCGTGCCCTTTCTTCGTTTTGCCCCCCCCCCCCCCCCGTTCAAACCTGCGTCCGGCGGCCCTGTGGAAGGATCATTTGCCAAAACTTGCGCATATCTATAATTGTAGACCACATTCTTCGACCGGATACCCACCATTCCAGCTCCTTTTTGGGCGTGTTCCTAAGCTGCCAATTGATATATTGTTTGACACATCTCGTTCGAATAAAAGATGTAACTACAAAGCATATGTAAAGGAGTGGCAGCTGACTTTGAAAGAGGCGTATGATATTCTACGGAAGAATGCTGCAAAAGCTACCGAACACAACAAACAACAATACGGCAAGAAAGTCAAGACATAAATATTGAATGCAGGAGATCGTGTTTTAGTCAGGAACTTATCTGAAAGGGGCGGACCTGGCAAGCTCTTTGCATATTAGGAAGACATAATCAACAGAGTTGTTCGCCGTGTTGGTGAAGATAGCGCCATTTATGAGGTTCAACCAGAGAAAGGAAAAGAAAGGACAAGGATACAACATCAAACACTGTTATTACCTTGTGACTTCCTGGAGTGCGAGGGACCCTTGTCGAATATTAAAAGGAGGGAAAAAAGGGGGTAAAACTATTCAAACGACATGAAAATGAAAGAGATAATGTCATTGGAGAGCGACAATTCAGATGACTCTGAAGACGAGTTTCCAATACTGGATACAATACAATTTTTCAAAAATTATTGTCATTTTTGTGTACGAAGAATTGAGTACACTATGTAGTGGGTCGCGGGGAACGCATACATATACCTATATATATATATATATANGAAATTTTATAGCAATGAAGGTGCATGCAGCTTTATCCACGGACGCTCAAAGAAGGGGGGGTTGCCATTAAGCAGGGTAATAGCAGGGTATCGGTGGTATGTGTTTCAAAATGAAAGACCAAGATACGTACCTTTACAGCAAGATAATTAAGAACAGCAGGCAAACAGCTTGGTTTTCCAAATGTTTTCTTCGACTATAGAAAAATTTTATTTTCAATAATCAGTGAAAAAGGAATTCTGTTATACTGATAAACGAAAAGAGAACCCGTCTCAATCACTGAAACTGAAAGGTAAACAAATGAGTACCTTTAAAGACTCTTCGCCAGTTTGAAGTTGGTGATTTATAAAAAGTTCTAGCAAGCCCGGCTGCTTATCAACAGCACATGTCAGGAATTCTAGAATGGCAACTTTGAGTCGAACAGGCTTGGTATTGCTTTCCAAACAGGAAACAATAGCTCTTCTAAGAGAAAATGCATCGGAACCAAAGCATGCGATAATGGAAACAGAGTTTATCTGCAATAAAAACAGCTTCCTTTAAACCTCATAGAACTCCTGCTACAGCAAACAAAGATTCGACAATTCAATGTAAAACGATTAAAAATAATTCAATGTGTGCTTCTCACGCGCTTAGCACAGCGAGATACGTACAAAACATATGCGCTGGAGAACAACCATGGCGAGAGTAGCAAGTTTAGGGTCATCTTCGTGGTAGATGTATTTCGCAATGTTAGATACAAAAGAAGATTCTACAAGGTAGAAAAATAAAATAGAATTATCTAGTCAAGCGGTATTCTATCAAGCTTATTCAAAGTTGTATGAACATGCATTAAAAATCTTCAAATAAAGCTTTTTGATTTTAAAGTTAAGGGAAAAAGCAATAAAATCAGGACTTACAAGGTTCACAAATAGAGCTTTTTATGTCTCTGAGAAGGTTGTTCTTATGCAATGTGAGACCTGAGACCTTTAGCATTTCAGAATGTGTATTGACCACCAACGCATTTCTTTTCTTATAAAAATGACCAATCATAGAGGATCAATGTAAGCTGTAGGTTCTTACCCGAAGGCTCTCTTGAGCGGATCTAATTCTATTGACAACAAACAAGAAACATACAGGAATATTTGAAAGCTACAAAAGTCATGAGTACCGAAAGGCCGAAAAAACTGACTTTCGCTTGAGTTATGTAAGGCCCATGCGTCGCACACTTTGCTTTCCAGAAGGCTCATTTCTGCTTCCTGGAAATAAAAGGTAACATATCATTAAGTTTCAATTCGCAACATGGATGCGTGGAAGCAAAAACAATCAAAATTCCTTTTACATAGGCCCGAAAGGAAAGGATCTCAGTAGGAACCGAACTACGCTTGTAACAAACAGGCTATGCTTTTGCACATGGCCTTGTGAATACGATCCACTTTTGATTTATCTTTTTGTGATAAGCTAGCCGATCGTTCCATGTTAGTACTATGCTAATCAGCAAATCGGATGGGTCATTTGTCAGATCTTAAAGTTGATTGGTTTCCCGTCATCCTGTGTTAAAGGTGAGTCCGTACCGGAAATGGATCAATCTAAAGGTGGATTTTCTTTTCACGGTATGGACGGAAAATGGGAAACGGTATACGGTACAAGCATGCGCAGAAGGTATTTTGACGTTCAAGAACGGTACTTTTTTCCTTGGAATTCGTACCGTTTGGCCTCTCAACCAATCATGTTCAAGGCATTGCGTCGTAACTTCAGCAACAAGCTGTGCTTCGAACTGAGTCACAGTCATGCTGAAATACTTGAAATAGTTCCCTGGGTGGAACTTTCCTTTTTGCCTTTTTTCTTGAAACGTGTTTCACCCATACGCTTTTCTCGTATTTCTTTCTCTTCTAACTTATGAATCTTCTTGCAAAAGAAAAAGCATCATAAAATTGTTTAGCATAAACATTCCCTCTTTCCCTTTTCTCGAGCATGTTCCATTGCACGAAATGGAAATGGGATGGAAGCCAAGTGGAAATTGATGGGCGGAAACTTCCCAAGTCGTTTACCTTTTACCGTTTTCCGCTTTCCGTTCATGCCGAGAATTGGAAATCCATCTTAAAATCTGGTCCTTTTTAGATTTGATCCACTTCCTCTCGCGTAAAAAATAGCGAAGTAACCAAATAGACTAGATAAAAAAAATCAGGCACAGAAAGCAGTAATCAGTTAGGATGATTTGGTAACTGACAGAGCATGAGCCTTAGCTTAGTGTTATATAAACATTGCATAGTGTCAGCTAGCTTTCAAAATACAAACAAAAATACCGGCCTTCACAATATTTCAAAAATTCAACAACCAAACGACCAATTTAGGTACACAGGTAGCAGGGCATGGTTCAAATATACAATTACCTTATTCTTGATAAGCAGCCTGTCAAGGACAGCCAAACCTAGCTTCACAATTTGAACTGAAGAGACACTGGCGCCATTACCACTGCAAAAAAAGAGAAAAACGTCGTTGTGACTTGAAAACCCCATAAAACTCTGTGGTAAATGGCTGGGAGTCTTCTCAAATGAATAACCTTCTGTACCTTGAATTAAAATATCCGAAATTGTCTATTTTTTACGGCCATGAATATATGCTCCTGATGTGTGGACCCCAAAAGATATATTTCACAGATAAACGTAAAGATAATAGCAGACAAGACACAGGATCTTTGCCGTACAGAAACATGTGCTGTCTTCCTACTCTGCTATGCAATTATTTTGTTTAAGTAGAAAAATCAGGGCGAAAGGGACGAGGGGATATGTCATTAGCGAAAAAACAAAGTGGATAAAGGAACTTAGGTCCAAATTCGCTTTTAGTTACAAAGTTACATTTACATTTTTAGATTTACATTTTCAATCATTTACGCATAGAAGACCATTCAGCAACGCTGGTTTACAAGGGACCATGCATCTAAATAAAAGAAAAACCAACATAAAGTAAATAAAATGAAAAAACAAAATAAAAAAATAATATTAAATAAAAAGTTTAATCTAAACATGATAGAATATGCTACTCGACCCCTTTTAACCTACCCTAACCTCGCAACTTTGATACTCTTTTAGAGAATTTTAATTTCCCCTAATGTGTCAAAATTTACTGTAGCAGGTTTCAAGGTAGCAGGCAATGTTGCTGATCTAATATATATATATATATATATATATAATAAAATAGAATATATACTAGAAATGAGACATGTTCTCTGTTACTCCGAGTTTCGTGCTTACGCACTCATCAGACAGACTATAATAGAAAAACCCCAAAACAAAAATGTAGCTGCGGCTTCTAAGGAAAAGAAACAACAAATTGCACCCCAGAAAGAAAAAGAGGACAAGTCTTACGCGGGCGCAGTAAAACGACCGCAACAGACGGCATCCAACCAAAGTCGACCAATGAGCTTTGTAGATCACCTAAAAAATGTAAGAGCAACAACAAGCCAGAGCCAAAGAGACAGAACAACGAAAGTCCCTGGAATGATCAAAATTTTGCAGCGCCCGAAACAAAGAACGGAAAAGTCTAATCAAACAACACATGTTGAAGCAGAAACAACCGAGGAAATTCAAAACCGGAACCAAAAAAACGAAACCACGGCCTCCAGGGGCGGATCTAGACGTTCGCACCGTTCGCACATGCGACAGTCAAACTTTTTAAAATTATACTAAAAGTCCGTCTCGAAAGAGGCTTTTCCTCAACAACAACTTTCTCGCTTATTGACGAATTTCCCATTTGTGTTTTAATTGTATTTGCTCAGGAATTATGCTTCAGTTACGTTTGACAATGGACACCGTGCAGGAGCAGGAAGATCCAAGGTCTGAATCATGTATGATTCAAACCTGGACATAAACACAAGCAAAATCTTAAACAAAATCTCAAATTCTATCTCTATCTTGATTCAATCTGATTCAAATCTCAAAGCATCCTGATTAAAAACAACAGGGTACCAATGTAGTAAGATTAGGGTATTTCGGTGCACAGTATGATTAGTAGCACGTTCGCACCGATTCGCACAGCTTTTGTTTTAAAATATTTAGCCAACCAAATTGCTAGATAGTGCGAACTTCGGTGCACAGTATGTTTTTTAGTAAGGTTGCACCACTGGGCAAAGATTAATCCGTCGACATTGTGTGCTTTGTACAGTTTTGAGCTTATTTATTCCTGGCATGGGGAAGTTTTTCACTGGAGAAAAGGAATTTTGTGCTATGGAGTCGACTCCTGGTAATTTGGAAGACAAAGGTCGCTAGATTTTGAGAGTAACATTCGACACGGGATGTTTTCAAGTTTCGATATTCAATACTTCCTCCATGGATCGAGGGCCTAGTAATGTCAATAAATGCACTGGACTGGGGTGATACCTGCAATTTGGCTCTGGCGAAGAAATAATGTTCAGGACGTTGGCAGAGTGAAATTTTTATTTGGACAAAGCTTTCAAAGTGAATCTTTTCAATGTGGATTTTCAGTTCCTTATCAGCTTTCAGATATTTCTGGGTAATGTTTACCTGCTTGGGTATTCCCCTGAATTCAAAGGGGTTTCTTTGGAGTAAATTACATGTTTACAAGCTGATTTGGTTTAGCTATTAAATAATATTAGTTATTAATGCAGGTTTTCATGAATATTTGTGTAAATTTGTTCTTTTTGAATAGTTCTGAAAATTCATTGCAATAATGTTTTTCATTTTTCTGTGTGACCTCGTTTGTCATCGTATACCATAAAAACAAATCAAGAGAGACAGCTCGAATTTTTGCCTGATTATGAAAGGAAAACTGTGTCAATACGCTTAAGAATAGAGTCTCTTGATTTACGCTTGGCTAAGAAACAACACAAGATTGAATAGATTATATGAGGGTGGATGAGTAATTGAGATATAAACATATGAAAAGCTAGGGGGCATGCTCTATTGTGTAAAATTTGTTAATGATTCTGTAGGATCAATTGAAAACTCAGATAAGGAATAAACAACAGTTTGACCACGTTCTAATTGAAGCCAATTTAATGTGCACATCGACTGTTCAAATGAGAGGGGGGTGAATATCCTTAAAAACTATGGGTGTGGTCACGAATGATTTTTTCGACCACACCCTTGTGTGCGACAGTCAGAATACTTTCTAGATCCGCCCCTGACGGCCTCCATGTATCATGGGGGCCTAACAGATATGCTTACAGCCCTAAACGAAACAACAAAGGCAATAACAGGATTCGAAAAGTTATTAAGAAGCTTGTCCGAACAATAAACGATCCGTTTGGACAGGTCATAAATTTGTCAAACTTTAAATTTTCCTTAAAGGAGAACTGACACGCAAAAATAACTTTGGCTTATTCGATGCAAAATTTGTCGCTGACTTCAAATCTGGAAAAAGTTTTCTTCTTAGATTCGCCGTTTTTCTGATATTTGCACTTTTATCCGTCAAATACGTCACAGCCAGGACTCGGGAATTTCCCGAAGCGGAAACAAGATTATCGCCAGGAGTTGTTAAAATTCTCGGTTCACGTCACAAGTGACATGTTAACAATGCCTTTGTAAAGGCTTTCACCGCAACGGTGAAAGTACAAGTGAAGTTTCGTGTTTTATTGAAAATAGTCCGCGGTGAAAAGACAAAAAATTATCAGGCATTTCATTTATAAGTATATAGAAGCTAGAAAATCCTAGCTACATGTCTGCTAAGACGCTTATATCCACATAAAATTTATTTTCATGCCATGATATCTTCGAACCAGCATGCTTTGAAACATTGAAAGAACCTCTAAGCTTGTGAAAAAAGGAGTCGACTTTGTTTGAAAACTGATACCGTTTCTTCAAAGTTTTTATTTTTACAATTACAAAAAAAATCGCAACATGGGGGTGGGGGGAGGGGGTTGAAGCAGTGGCCAAAAGACAAACGAAATCTAGTGGAGACAGCGGTAAAAGCGATCCTGCAACCTGCTTTGGGTGCAGAAATATGAATTCAAGAAAAAACCTTGGTTGATGGGAGCTGCGAGTGTGACTAAATAATAATTTCACTGAACTTGATTATTGTATTTTAACAGAGATTGAGATACTAGGGAATAACCTAGTGTTATATTACACTTTAACTACAGTGCAACTAAGTATATATAAAATAACTCACGGCCCTTTTCAACTCGACTTGTGGCAGAAAGGAGCAGAGAGACAACGACTTCTTTCGTCAGCATTTTGAACGAACAGCAAGATGCTTCTCCCAAAAAGCCTAATTCTTAAAACTACTACAGCGTATTTATAGATACAAGCATTTTACAACTATTAATAACAACCAATCAGCTAAAAACACGTAAGACCTACAACCAAAAGAAACATAGATGATTAACAGCGGAAATAAAGTGTTTGCCAAATATTTAAATTATACCCTACAATGGTTCGTTCGATCTGGTGCACAACACAACCTCCCCCTTTGAAATCGAGCCTCCCGGCTCGAAAACGCGTCAAACTGGTAAAATCTCCTGTGGTGTACAGTAATCCTCGGGACGAGTGATAGAGGGCTCATCTACAGACGAGTCACTTTTTGCTATCGGGTTAGGTTCTGGTAGAAAACTGTCTGGCGGTAAATCCACATCACTGAGATCAACGAACGTGTCACATTGCGGAGGAGCAGCGGTTGGACGGTCCGACGGATCGACGTACAGCTTCATGCGGTTTGCGTGCACTGGAACACTAACTGGACGGTTGTCGAGTGTCCTTAAACGAAAATGAACGGGCGATAAGTTCTTGACAACGCGATATGGTCCGTGGTAGTTATGGGCTAACTTTTTGGAAAGACCCTTTCTCGTTTTTGGGGTGTACACCCAGACTTTGGATCCGATATCAAAGGAGACTGGCGCACTGTTCTGATCGTAGTAGTGTTTCATGCGCTGTTGAGCCAACTCTGTATTTGTCTTAACTATGCGACGGGCGTTTTCCAGATTTTCGACAATGCGAGCACGGTGTTCTGCAACGGAGGACGAGAGTTTTGCTGTCGAAGGCAAAATAAGAGACGCATCAATTGGCAGACGAGGCTCTCGCCCATATAAAAGATAAAACGGCGATTCGTGGGTCGTAGCGTGAGGCGAGACACGGTAAGCGAAAAGCACCAATGGCAGGTGGCGGTCCCAATCCCTCTGATTTGAGCTGACATACATCGACAACGCTTCCGCAAGGGTACCATTAAACCTTTCGACTAGTCCGTCCGTTTGCGGATGATACGAGGTAGTCCGAAGTTGGCGAGTGTTGAGCAATTTGCAGACCTCTGTAACGATAGATGCAAGAAAATTCGAACCCCGATCTGATAAAAGCGTTTTCGGAGCACCATGGCGAGCGAGAATCTTGTCCACAAGCAAGTTAGCAATCATAGACGCTTCAGTAGAAGGCAAAGCAAAAGCTTCAGGCCACCGTGTGTAATAATCAGAAAAAACCACGATATAACGGTTGCCGTCGTTTGTAACGGGAAACGGGCCTAAGACGTCCATGGCTACTCGATCAAAGGCTCCTTCGACAGGAATAGGCAGCAAGGGTGCCTTCTTCTTACCCCTAGGCACCTTCTTCATCGAACAATCAATACATGAAGTACACCAATGTTCAACGTCTTTATACATGCCGTGCCAATAATAACGAGAACGAATTTTCTCATACGTTTTAAAAACGCTTAAATGACCAGCAGTAGGTTCATCGTGACAAGCAATAAGAATCTCTCGGCGAAGGCTTGCAGGAATTACCACCTGAGAACATAAAGACTGAACATGTCGTTTACTAGGTGTCCATAAATGACATAAAACCCCATTTTCGTCCAGATAGTACGAGTCGACAGTCAGTAGCAGAGTACGCGCTTTATTGTTATCATCTGGCAAGAGAGAACACTCGAGGTACTCAATAATGGCGAAAAGGTCACGATCTTCGCGTTGTAATTTGGTGAGCTGTGGAGGAGCAGGACATGGGTGCCTAATAGAAGCCATAGGCGGAGAAAGACCAGAAACAGTGGTTGAGGAATAAGATCGTCGTGAAAGCGCATCTGCGTTGTTGTTGGAAGGTCCAGGGCGATAAACAATGTCAAAATCGTACTGCTGCAGCTGCAACGCCCAGCGAGCAAGCCGACCTGTAGGATCCTTCACATTCATGAGCCATGAAAGGCTACTGTGGTCTGTATGGACAAAAAATTTACGGCCATGAAGATAAGGTTGATACCGTTTAATTCCATCCACTACAG